CAAGTTTTTGTGTGTTACATTCTTCGACCACAAATCTCATTTACCCCTTAACTTGTAAAGACAAAAATCTGTGGCATTCACAAATTTATAAGTAAAATAACACCAAAAACGCAGTTCCATAAAGAATGGACAAATTATCAGATTGAATCAATATTATAACTAGAACTAGAATAAAGAAATGCACTCCTTTAAGCGCTGCTGCTACCAGCCTCACACTCTTCCTTGCGCCGTCAGAGGCCGCTGTGTTTCTGGTGGAGAACGAGCTTTAACAGAGTGTCGTTGTGAGAAGTAATATTGATAAAAAGGTTCTTGCATTCAATAACTTTGAAAATACATATTCCTTGCATATGCATATATGTACATGTGTATGCACATATGTTCATATATGTATCATGCAGATAATGCTACCAAGGTCGCAAAGTTTTGCACTTCGTAAAACGTAAGTTCAGCTCATATTTTTGTTATATCTTTAACCTCTTTTACATCTAAACGAATGCAATATACTTATGTATGGTTTTATCATACATATGTGTATACATACATACATATGTATATGTATGTATGCATTTTTATTAACTAATATGTATATTTTTTATACTAATTAACTCATTCAACATTCGGTCGATAAGTATAACTTTTTACATCCGTTGTACAAGACTAGTATGTGCATGTTTAACTGTACGTCTGTGTACTATATGCGTAACATTTTTTATATTTCTTTATTTACTTATTACATATGTTTATACAATTAAAATAACTTATGTTTTATGTAGTTGTTTTTCTAGAAAGTAAAAATGATTATTTAAACAAATCTATACAGCAACACCCGTTTCAGCAGAAGCATTGCTGAGTGTGTTTGTTACACTAATATTAATATTTTGCTATCAGACAAACTCCTGCGCCTGCGTAGATATTTTTGAAGACCAAATTACACGATACGATTAAAAACCCTTGTGGAAAACATGTAGAGTAAACGTATTCCAACTTTCACTTCAACACAAGGAATTTTAAAAAATATTAAGACTCCGAAAGCTATTATTATTATTAGCTGTTAGGGGAAAGCTATGCTAGAATTATTAATTTAAGAAAAGAAGGGAATTATTAGATATGGTAGAGGGAATTGTAAACCGAGCAAACGGTTCATGCAAGGCATAATTCGATGCACAAAGTATAAGGAAACGATAAAGGACGTGTGAGACGCTTCTTACGCGTCACAACTTTTATAACCGGCACCCAGTACTACTTCTGCACCTTAGCGGTGTTTTGTCAAATTTAGCATTTTTTATTCATCAACACGCTCCTTTAGCTCGCCCCCCTTCCCTAGACCCACACACTGCAGACTCGCGGCAGAGGCAGCGCCCGCACACAAAAAAAAAAAACAAATATAAGCTGCGGGACGTGGTGGGTTAAAAGTCGGAAGAGTCAGCGGTAGGGGGAGGGCAGAGGCAGAGGCAGAGGCCGAGGGAAGCAGAGTGTGAATGAGAGAATGTGAAAAGGACAACAAATGCTGCGGGGCAGGGTGGGTTTAGCCACTGGAAATTAATTTCTTCATTGTGGCTATAATTATCAAATCGGATCCCAATTTGGTGATCTGGGCGGGGCTAATTTTTGAAATACACTGGTTTCAGTGTGAGCATCCAGCAGTCTGGAGCCAACATTTGGTGGCTCTAGCTCTTATAGTCTCTGAGAACTAGCCAACAAACATCACGGACAGACGGACGGACGGACGGACGGACGGACGGACGGACGGACAGACAGACAGACAGACATGGATCTATCGACTCGGCTATTGATGCTGATCAAGAATATACATACTTTATGGGCTCGGAAACGTTTCCTTCTGTGCGTTACATACAACCGTTATTCACCAAATACAATATACCCTATTTACTCTTCGAATACCGGGTATAAAAATGAATAAAAATTATAATATTTATGTATAGTATGTCTAACTCGTAAAAAAATTCCTAAAATTTATGCGGCTCAACAAAGTAGAGCGATCTACGTCTCTCTACAATCTATATACACCAAGCATTTTTCGAACGCTCCAACTCTTTTAACAGAAACTGGTCATGGAAGATGCGGTTATGGGCTGATACTCCAGTGGAGCTCGCAGAAAATGTAAGCCTCGATCCCTGATCGATGAGTGCATAGGTGCATAGGACCGCTTGAAGACCATTGGCTGCATTCCGTATGAAACTGCGCACGGAGGCAAGGGAAGTGTTCCAGAACGTCCCATAACGTTCATCCTCTTCGCGTGCTCGAAAGCGAACTGGGAAGATGTGTGGATTTTAGGTAATTTATGTGGTCGTCAAACTATCTAAAGCTAAGCAGCAATGTTGTTTGGTTTGTATATTTTATTTAAATATATAAAGTTTTCATATACATTTATACAATATTAATATTCATAATATAATATGTGTATTCTTTAAAATTAAATTGGCTGTGTTTCTTTTTTTAGCCACGATAACGTAAAAGAATCGCCTTCCTGAGACAATATCGGCGAAAGGGTATCCCAAACTTGTTGATGATAGCTATTAAGCAACTGGATCTAAACAAAATTAACATTAGCATAACACTAATTAAAAAGATGAAAAAGTGTAATGTAGATTTTTACCTCAACGTCAGTTAAGAGTTCTTTTGCAATCATTTTTGTTTGTTTCGGGCACATAGTAATGGTTTTAAAAGTTAAGGCCCCACGGTTGGAAAAATTATGGGTTGATTGTGCTGGCACAATTTGCACAATGTCTTCAATGCGTATTCCAAATTCCCCATCCTGATAAAAGCCAGGCTCTGAAAAAAACCAAAGCTTAATTTATTCTAAACTTTCATAAACATATTAGACCTAAATGAAACATATTCAAATGAATAACGAAACTTGCTACGAGTGCACACGTCTACTCGATCTGCATTGGTTTTAAAAAATCGGTGTCTTCTTATCCATGAGTTATTTTGAGTTACAAAACTAAGCTAAATATAAAATTGAGAGTAGGCCAAAAAATGCCCCAAATTCAAATGAAACACTACTTGTCTTGTGTTTATTTTGACTTGTGTTTGTGTTTCTGCGACCATATTGACATGAACTCTACTCATCTTACTCTTATACTGTCTTTGAAGTGAGCGTTAAATGTTTGAGAGCAAAAATAATTTCTTACCATTCGAAATAAACATATTTTCTTGAAGACCGGGATCATCGGGCATATGACGTATACCTACGCCTATCGGGCCTTCATGAACATTTAAGTAGTGTCCTACGCCGTGACCAGTGCCATGACTATAATCTAAGCCAACGTCCCAAAGAGCCTTCCTGGCAAGTGTATCAAGAACTTGCCCCTGAAATATTGGTAAACATAAATATCTGATTAAAAAAATTTAAAGGAAGGTTAATTTCATGGTTACTGTGTACAACACGGGACGTAGCACGGGATTAAAATGAAGGCGCTACATGACAAATAAAAAAATACGAGGTGGATCGTTGCGAGTCGCGTTCAAACTCGGCACTACTTTTATACCCGGTACTCAGTAAGAAATGTATATGTACGTACGTAAACATGTAACCTTATATTTTTGGTTAATCCGATACTCAGAGCAAATGGGGTATATTGTATTTGTGCTTGAAATTGGATATATGTAACGCACAGAAGGAAGCGTCTTGTTCCTCAGAGCCTCGTACTCAGAGACTATAAGAGCTAGTCTGGGCAGCTCAAAATTAATATATCCCTTAGCTCTTCGAATTTCACTTATAGTCACCTCAGACTTTCTTCTTGGTATAACCACTTTTTTTACATACCTCCCAAAGATATGTTAAAAACTTAGCATCGTTTATGAGAGCTCTAGATTACGAAAACTACTTGGTTGATACTTTTTATTTACCAATTATATTTTTATATGTATGTGGTCTGGGTTTCGACAATTGCGATCTCTGGACAAATTTGCGTCAAAACAGGATAGCAGAACGCAAAGAAAGAAGGAAAGAGAATGAATTAAGACGATAGTGAAGAGAAGATCGGCGAGAGAAACGCCGAAAGATACCCTTCCAGCCTCCGACGTTATGTGAGAGACCAGACGACGAACGACGTAAAAATTAAATTCTCATACCTTTCTATCACTTATTGAACTTTTAACAAAAAACTTAAACCCCCACATGTATGTATGTATGTTAATGTGTGTACCTTAACTTTTGCTGGAAAAATTGTCGACCCAAACGTTAATTGGCCTTTGAGGACTCGGGTATATACTTCTTTTTGGAACTCAGTGGGATTGCCAAAATGAAAAGTTCTTGTCACATCCGTTGTACCATCCCTAAAATAACGTGCAAATGAAAAAAATGAGAATAAAATAATGTAATTTTACAGAATATAATTATGGAGAATAAATATAAACGGTTAAATAATATAGAAATAAAAGTTGAATGGCAACTTTTTGAGCATAAAACAGTAGTTGACTCTGCCAAATGGGAGCAGGCAAATAAGTTAAAAATTAAATCGTTTAATCTTAATGTTATAACTTTTTGCATTATGTATGAGCTGTACCGTCAAAGAAACATTTCAACAATCATGCGAAATAGTACAAAGAACAGGCGAAAGACTAGAGCAAGATAATGGAAATATGCGTGAAGGCATGTGGTAATATTTGACAAAATGACAGAAAAATTAGGTACAGCAATATAAAGTTTAGACTCATGTACAGGTAAAATCTTATTAACAAAAAACACCAAAGTCAAAAGTGGCAAGGAAGGTTGGTAGGTCGTTAATAATTATGTCCTATTAAATTTATGGCAGAGTAATTCTATAATATGTCTAGTTATTTTAATGGTCTTAAAACTAAATCATTGTGTTATTCATTAATGGAACTTACAAAAATTGAGCGCCTGAATCACATAGGTATATTTCATTAACGGTTATATCTCTCTTTGTATCATTCGTGGGATTATAATGAATAATAGAACCGTTGGGGCCAGATGAACTAATTGTCGGAAAGCTCAAGCCAACATAGTTATCTTTCGTTCTAGAGTTAAAAAAAAATATAAATATAAATATTGTAAATTAATATTTTTTTAAAAATAAATAAATATAAAGATAACCAACGTATAGATACCTATTATACATTAACTGTGAATAGAAACTTACCGGCGAAGAGACTCCAGCTTATCTGCTCCAGATATTTCATCAATTTTTTCACCCAAACTTAATTGGTTTTCAAGCCAAGCAAAATATTGGCATAATGCCATTCCATCCCGAACGTGACTATTCACAAATCCTTTAATCTCCACATCATTTTTAATTGATTTTAATAAACAAATTGGGGTGACCTATATTTGAGAAAAAATGGTTTTCGGTAAATGTTTTGTGTATGTACATACATATGTAAGAAATTTGTACGTGTTTATAAATGTAATTCTTACCTCCTGAAGGCGTTGCGATTTCGGAATAATTGCTGTTAAATAGTAGCTGCTTGTAGGAGAAATCCAAATTTTTGTATCTTTAGTCGACACCTGAAGATTTATATTTGTTTAAATTAATATATTTAAAGATGCTTTCTTAATAATTAATAATTAATATAAGTAAAACTTACAATGCGACTTATTTCCAGGCCAATCGAAGAATAGGGAAGAACTTTGATTTGTACTTCGTTTTCTGACTGATGGTTAGAAAAATCAGTTGGCAATTTTTCAGAATCAACGAAAGCTAACAGCTCATTCTTTGTTATAATCATATATGCAAAGAATACTGGATTAAAGTCTATATCCGAGCCCCGCATGTTTAAGAACCCTACATATTAGTTATAGATTAGTTATAAGTTTAAATCGAATAAATTAAATTAAAATACAACTTTAACTTACAAGCAATTTCATCAAGAGCACTAACAATTAAGGCATCCGCTTTTTTTTCCTGCATTTGTTTACGAACGAGCTCCCATTTTTTGGCGATTGTGACACCAGCATATTCCAATTTTAAGGGTTTTATAGAATTTAAGGTTTGTGGTGGCTGATCCTCACCCCAGATTTCATCAATTAAATTTTTTTCAATTGGGACTAAATGACAATCTACAAGTAGAGTGGTATGACAAAATGTACATCATAAAATATTACTGCAACTTTTTACAAACCAGATGAACTCAATTCGTTTTCTATAGGCTTCCACAGCCGGAAAGAAAATAAACGGGGATCCACGCCAACAGCACTGCCTCTTGGAAGATTTTGGGCCAACCATGCACCTACAGAAGGAGTCGTTGTCAGACCATCCTTCATAAGTACCCAATTTGAGTCGAGTTGCTTTTCAGCTTGTTGATAATAGCGACCATCTGTCCATAATAGTGCGCTGTTGCTTGTGACCACTGCTGTTCCAGCAGATCCATTAAACCCGGTTAGAAATGCGCGTCTTTCGTCATGCTGACATTGATATTCACTCTGATGAGCGTCATCGGAAGGAACAATATAAGCCGAAATGCAACTGATGTCTCGGACACGAACCAGTTGCATTAGCTCTCGTAATTTAGTCAAAATTTGTGTTGTGTCCTTCATCATCACCAAGATTCAATTCAATGAAAGAATTATCGACAAGAGTTCTCCGTATAATGATAAGATTATGATAAGATAACAATCCGTCATAAATCTGTGTTGCACATATGTACGTATGTCAATATACATTTTTATGTGCGGTTTTGTAAATTCATTAGGGATGTTCAAAGTGAACCAGTTCAGTTATCTGCTATTGTGGCCTTACTCCATGGCTATTTTTTTTCAGAACCGTTTGTCTATTTCTGTTTTTAGAGTTACATTTTATTTAATTTGTATTTATTAAACTACTTTTTAAACTTCTTTAACAAGCTTTTAATCTAAACAACAAATTGGATAGTTCTAGTAACCACGTCGTGTTCCACTATACTTCAAGACCAGTACTGTTCTTAACAGTACCACAGATGGCAATTTGACATCTTGAAATTATTACCTACATAAGTATGTCATTAGTCTTTGCTAACTTAGCTGCGTAGATGTATGACAGTATGAAAGGCAAAACGTAAAAAATGGACATCGCAGCCGTCTTTAGATATTTCTCGACTATTTCTCCTTTTGAAGTTAGTCAGTAAGCAAAGTGTAATGTCATGGACTACAAGTATTTACGTAAGTGCTAAAAGCAGGTATCCAGCCCCACAAAATATTCGAGCCTAAAATTTGCTATATATTTCTTTCGTGAGTAACTAACACAGGCATACGAATCAGCTGTGTTTTGTAAACATGTGTACTGCACTAGCAGTTCGAAATTCAAACTGAAAATACAAAAGTTTCAAAAACAGCTGGTAGTTGAATTGAGAATGCATTTGGCATTTGCCAATAATGCATATGGTTTGCGAAACGACCATTATTGCCAAAATAGCACAAATAATATATTATTTATTTATTAATTTCAGTAAAATGATTTCATTTTCAATAAAGTCATGGGAGAGGTATTTTTTTGATTCCGACAATCTATTTCGACTCTATTTTACGTTTTAGAGCGCACTTGTTTCCTCCATTTCGCAAACCACACTCCAGAAATAATTGAAAATATATATTTCTTGCCTGTCTACCAGCTGTTCTCTCAGTCCACACACGCACTTCGTATCGATATATCGACAAGAAACAAAAAGTCGAACCAAAAATTTGTCTTGTTTTCTGATGAAGATTGGCAGAAATTTTTTGTTTTTGTGGTGCTGGATACCAGCCTTAAATAGTCAATAGAATAAAGGGGTCCTGTAAGAACATTATTTAAAATATTATAAATAAAAAACATTTTAATAAAATGAAAACAAGATAGGTCATTTATTTTTTTTTAGCTTTTTTATATCAATAATATTGAAAACACTGCTCCAACAATAAAAAATTAAAAAACAATTTTTGGAAATATTTCAGCCTACATTTATACATTTGTACATAACAGTAGCCATAAGCAATAAGCATTTTGGTTTTTGGTTTACAATTTAATTTAGCACCGACATTAAACTTTGCTGTACCCAACGTGGCAATGCAAAAGCTGCATCATGTACTTCTGGAGTATAGTACTTCAAGTTTAGTGCTTCGATATCAAAGTTATCTATTTTATTTACAGAGTTAACGAACTTTTGATTCTTGTTCAAAGACCCTATAACGAAACCTATATGACCACAAGGATAAGATGGAACTGAAGTAATTGCATAGGAAACTTTTGGGAAGTGCTCTTTGCAACCCAACATTGTTTTTTTGATATAACTTAAGTCAAGCCAAAAGCTACCTCCTTGCGAGCACACGATTCCATCTTCTTTCAATGCGTGTTTCATTAATTTATAGTAGCTTTCATTAAACAGGCTTACTGCTGGACCAATTGGATCAGAGCTATCCGTTATAATGACATCAAATTCATTTTTATGATTTTTCATGTATTCAAACCCATCACCAATAGTTAGCTTTAACTTTTCGTTCTTAAAGCCGCATGCCATTGAAGGTAAGTGTTGTTTAGAGAGTTCCACAACGCGTTCGTCTATTTCTATTTGGTGTACTTCCTCAACCAAGGGATGTTTTACAACTTCACGGGCCACGCCTCCATCGCCGCCGCCAACAATCAACACTTTCTTAGGATTCGGATGACAAAAAAGAGGTAGAAAGGATATCATTTCCTGGTACGAAAATTCATCCCTGGACGTGCATTGTATTATGCCATCTAATATCAAGCACTTCCCATATGTTTCACTGAAAACAGCAAGAAAAATAATATAATTTTAAAATCTATAAAAGAACAGAATGTTTGTACATAAACCTAGTGGAACTAGATAATTGAAATTAAAATTTGCATTGTTATTAATACTACATATGTACATACATATTTACATGCGTAAATATGTACATACGTTAGAGATTTTCAAATAGGAAAAGAAATTCAGAATTTACCCACGAATTCAAAAAAAAAATTACTTTACGATTTAGTTACTATCTTTGATAGCTACATACATACATATGTATGTACTTACATATGTACAATGTGTGTACATTAGATACAATGAACATCGAGAAAATGACATTAAGGACATTGATACCGGGACTTAGAATCTTTTACTTTAAAATAACTTAATACGTACATATGTATGTACATACATACATATGTATATATTTCCTATCTAAATACATACATATGTACATATATATGTTCATATGTACATACATACATATGTATATCGAATAAAATAAAAAGCAGGTGCATGTTACAAGATTGGCGCCAATGCATATTTTAAAAGTACTTATAGAAAGGCATGAATGAACATCACATAACTCACGTATCAATGATTTGAATATCTTGGAATTTGGACTTTTCCTTATGAATGACATTTTTTACTTTTAAAGAAAATGCCTGTCCAGGCCATAGCTCGGCCTGAAGTTCACTAAACCAGCCGTCAGATATCGTATCCATTTTATGTTAAAAAAAAAACGAAATAAAATGTAAATTGTTTTCTAGTTCTTTGTCAATTTCAAATCCCGCCTGAAAGCTCAACACGTGGCTTGATGTTCAAAGATACCATTTATTCCCTGACTTAAAATATATTGAAAAAAAATTCTAATACTTTTCCAGTATTTATTCAGATGCGCTAAATTTTCTTGCGACTGAAAGTGTACTTCGCTCTGTGCCTAGTATGACCAAAGAGGGGCAAGTGCATGCTTTATGGGTACACTGTTTTGTATATGTTTCAAAAATGATATCTGTTAAAAATTTCAAATTTGTATCAAAGCAGGCAGAACTGTATTATTTCAAATTCAGATTGGATAATTTCTAAGTTTTGTAGAGAAATAATTTGTGAGTTAACTGACTAGTGAAATTGCTGTGAATGTTTTTAAACTAGGCTCAGCATTTTACGGAAGTGCCCCTAACATTATTTATAAAATTCATATCGAAAGCAACACTGTGAAATAATTTAAAAAGATACGTAGTCCAACGCTATTGGTTCAATCGGATCCAATCAAAACACTCCAGCACAAATTTCAAGTAACGTATAACCATCTCTTTTCAACGCCAGTTGTATCCAGCACCGACGTTCAGTAGTTACACCGCTTGAAAAAATCGGTTTAGTTGAGGAACAGGGTGACCATTTAAAGTATTTTATATATTTTCTGAAATTATATTTTAATTAAGAATATTAGTTTAATGTATTTTCACTCACGTAACGCTAATGCTATTTTTTTTGGTTGACCTTTTCATTTTTAGGATTAATTTGAAAACACTCCAATAAAAGAAAGTCGTGAAAACTAGCCAATGTTATGTAGAATTTATTGATAAATTGAATAAAATTAAACTTTTTAAACCAGATATTCTTAACATGCTCGTAATATTAAATAGAACATCAAAATCGAGGAAAATTATTTAAGATTCATGGTATATTTACGGTATATTTTCAAAATGAGGGTATATTTTGGTATATTTTTCAGGGTTGTGCTGTATATTTTATCTATAATACTGAGATCACGCTGTTAAGCAGAAACATTTATGTCATTATTAAATTAAACACAATTTTAATTCTCGGTTGTTAACTGCATATCGAAAGCAACACTGCGAATTAATTAGTAGAGAAAGATACGTAGGCCAACGCCATTGGTCCAATCGCATCCAATCAAAACGCTCCAGCGCAAATTTCAGGTGGCCTATAGCCATCTCTTTTTAACACCCTCAAAGGTTTAGTTTTATCCAGCTTGCCGGCGTTTAGTAGTTACTTCGCATGAAAAAAGTTTAGTTAAGAAAGAACATTCACGCGATGTGTTATAAAATTTTAATTCTTGCCTTACTGGCAATAGTCGGGCTGATAAACGCAAACATATATTTGGAAGAAAAATTTGAAAATGGTATAGAAAACGCCGGTACTTATTTCGTCCGCGATCTGTTTTTCATGAAATTATTTTCTTTTCATAGAAAATTGGGACGATACGTGGATTTATAGCAAGCATCCCGGTAAGGAATTTGGAAAATTTACCCACACCGCCGGTTCATTCTTTAACGATGCTGAAGCAGACAAAGGTATGTACTATATTTCAGCTGCATATTTTTTTTGTTAATTAATGTATACTTTCATATTAACACGTATACATATTACCAAGGAGTGTTCTCTATATATCTAAATATATTTTTTATTTATACTTGTGTACCAATAGGCATTCAAACTTCGCAGGACGCACGTTTCTACGCTGTTTCCAAACAATTCGATGCATTTTCCAATGAAGATAAACCGCTTGTTGTTCAATTTTCTGTAAAACATGAACAAAATATTGACTGCGGGGGTGGTTACGTTAAACTCTTTGACTGCTCCCTGGACCAAACAGACATGCACGGCGAGTCACCCTACGAAATTATGTTCGGCCCAGATATTTGTGGACCTGGTACAAAGAAAGTCCACGTCATTTTCAGTTACAAAGGAAAGAATCACTTGATAAACAAAGATGTAAGATGTAAGGATGACGTGTACACTCATTTTTACACGCTCATAGTAAGGCCTGACAACACCTATGAAGTATTAATTGATAATGAAAAAGTGGAATCTGGTAACTTGGAAGATGACTGGGATTTCTTAGCACCAAAGAAAATTAAGGATCCTAATGCCAAGAAGCCGGAGGATTGGGATGATAAGGTATGCATTCCAAAATGGATATTAACCAAAAAATGAAACATGTTCATTCATACATATGTACATTTTGACATACTCATGCCCAATTGTCATTAAAATCACATTAGTGTTTATATTCACATTAACCTGGAGTTAATGAATGAAAACAGTCAATAATACATGATGTATATGTACATACATGTGTATACTCTTAACTCTTGCGTGTTGGTAACCTCAATACATATTTTTAATATATTTAAAACATTTTTTTTCACATTATTTTTACAAATCAGCCCACAATTCCTGACCCCGATGATAAGAAACCTGAGGATTGGGATAAACCAGAACATGTACCGGACCCAGATGCCACCAAACCAGAAGATTGGGACGACGAAATGGATGGTGAATGGGAGCCCCCAATGGTAGATAACCCTGAGTACAAGGGAGAGTGGCAACCAAAACAATTGGATAATCCCAACTACAAGGGTGCTTGGGAGCATCCCGAAATCGATAACCCTGAATATGTACCAGATAACAAGCTTTATCTACGTAATGAAATATGCAAATTAGGATTCGATTTATGGCAAGTTAAATCTGGAACAATATTTGATAATGTCCTCATTACCGATGACATTGAGTTGGCACACAACGCAGCGGCTGAGGTAAAAAACACTCAAGCTGGTGAGAAAAAAATGAAGGAGCTTCAGGATGAAGTCCAGAGAAAAAAAGATGAAGAGGAGGCGAAAAAGATCTCTGATAAGGATGACGACGAGGAAGATGATGATGACGATGAAAAGGATGAATCTAAGCAAGACAAAGACCTGAATGATCATGACGAATTGTAAAAGCATTCTAATAAAATACGTCAAATCTTATTAGGGGTTTTTTGTGTAAAAAATTTGCTTTAGATTTCAAAAGCATCCACAATTAAAATGTGTAAGACTTATATTATATTTATAAACACCATCGTCTATTGTTTTATTTATAAAACGCCATCAGATATTTAGGTAAAGGCAAAGGCTCCCTTTTTTATATGTTTTGTGCCCTATGACCTATGGTCATAGTCTCTTTGGCGGTAGTCGATTGCAATCTTTAATAATATCAAATCAGATATTTTACCATCAAATTCCTTCCTATTTTCAAAGAGCTTCATCCATACAGACTAACTCCTTTCTCTTAGCCATACGTTATGTTATGTTAGTGGGTGAAGCATTAAAAAATTTAATGTCATTAAATAAATGCAGCTGTTGATTTCAAAAACAGAACTACCCAAATATTTAGTTACACATATCGTATAGAGAAGTGCTTGGGTGAACATGTGGTACGAACAGCTGTTCGTTTTTTCGATTTCCTTTTTCTTAAATATACGCCCTTGCAAATCATCTCCGTCACCGGCTTCAGTATAGAATTGTAGTCGTTCGTAGCATTGGAGGCTTTTTTCCATAAAAATTAAGTATTGAGCGTAATTCATGGTTTTTTAATAATCTCTGTTTATGTTTTTCTTCTGCGTGTCGATATAAATATAAGCTATCGATATGAGCCAAAAGCAATGGATGGAGCACGAGTTCAATGGATCGTACCATTTTCACGATCCATTTCTCAAAATCCGATTCAGGAAGGCCACAAGAAGTGGATCATGGAATAAGGTATTCTGGTGAACGCGCCTGCAAATAGATAGTGGAAATCAACTCCTCCAATACCACTTTTAAAAACTATATGATTTTATGGAAATTAATAATAGAAACTTTTATTTTTGGCTCGCACCAGCATATTCATGTTGCATAGAATGACCGTCTGCAGATTTGACAAAAGTATTCATTTTATTTCTAGTCAATCTAAACGATTGGCCTTTTGTTTGCCGAATATCATTCATATTCATATCGATTAAAATCCAAATAAATCCATCCATCCATCCATCCATCCAGCTGACACAGCTCAGGAAAATACATATAGTTAATAGCGTAAAACAACGAAATTAAACGAAAATGTTCAGGGTGACAAGAAGATGGCTTTGATAACTGTAGTTGAAGCTAGAAAGTGTCTTTGAATCACGACACACGCCAAATCAATTTGCACTCATCAGAATGAAATGCACTTTTTAATTGACGTGTTAATCCTGTTACAAAACATAGATAAAAGCGATCTATCTCGTTGGTGTGTGTACGATAACATAAACAGAGTGACCTTGCGCGGAAAATGTCCATTATTAGCCTAATAACTAAAATTCAACAGGGATAAAAAACAAAGATTCGTCGTTGCATTGCCAATTCATTCAGAATAGGCATTAAACAATAACCAAACACCTCATGTGCAAGAGTACTGAGCTAACATCCCCATCGATGGTTCATTTAAAACAAATGTTCTCCATTTTCCATTGTTCCAAATAGAAGGAGCCCTTTATACTCTCTTTACTGCACGAAATGATTATCGATATTACATATATTCCAAATCGATTACAACAGAAAAACCGCAACAAACATCTCTAGACATCATAGACTTACAATTTTTTTTTTAAATATTCACTACCTTGTTATAATGGTAAATGATTGTGTTTTATCATCCGTTGATGATGTAGAGCAAAAACTTGTCATAGCTAAGCAGAACCTAATTACATTAAATGATAATATTCGACGATTTGTTGGTCGCGTACCAAAGGAGTTGAGGTGTGTACATATATAACACATTCAATTATAAATTTGTTTATAAACTACAAGTTTTTCTTCTTTTATACGTTTTTAGAATAGACAAACACAAACATGCTGATGAAGTCAAAAAGAACGAACATAACGAAAGATCATTTAAAGATAAACGTCGTACGTTTGATTCGAACTATGGAGATGCTCGCTTCACTACAGACGAGATTGAACCCCGCTCGGCAAGAATCAACTCTCGAGTTATCCGGGAATTACCATCTAGAAAAGAAGTAGTCGAAGCTCAAGGGACCGATTCCGAGTCAATAGCTCGAAATCGTCGCATGTTTGGTTCGCTTATTGGAACATTACAAAAATTCTGCCAAGAGGAGTCGCGTCTAAAGATCAAAGAAGATAAAAAAGCTGAAATAGAAAAGAAACTGGAGAGGCAAGAACTTCAGGAGCGGACAATGCTAAGAAAAGAACGTGAAACTTTGTTTTTAAATAAAAAACGAAAGCAATTTGAAATCAGAGCATTGGAATATAAAATGGCTAGGCTAAAGGATTTCAAATCTTGGGAATCGAACATCTCTTACCAAAAAAATCAAATTAGAACAAAAACTAAACCGCATTTATTTTTTCGGCCACAAATACACACCCCTCGTACAGAGAAACTGCTACTTGAATGTAAAACTTATGTAGAATGTTTTATCCAAAGCAGACGTGAAGAACTACACGCAGAACTACGGGACATGGAGCGTTTAAATTACATCAAAATGCATGAAAATAACGAAATTGACGAAAGTATCTTTGAAGAACAATATGATGAGATGGGTAGCGAAATTGCATAATTAAAAAAAATAAGTTCAATAAAAAGTAACATTGCTGAGACTCGTTTTGAAAATTTATTTTTTTTCATCGTCCTGATCCAGATCTTTAAATAGGTTTGCAGATATTAGAAAATCTTGAACATAGCAATTTTTCGGATTTGGGTTTCACATATATTCGTAAGGTACAATGGAATTTGTTAAATTCAGTATTCGAAGGTACAAATTATATTGGTGTCAATAAAAATAAGTTGATATAACGATATTACAAACTTTATGGAAAATAACAACAATCGGACTTGGTTTCAAGACTTGGTTTCCCCTAAGAATGCGTTCTTTACATGTTCATACGTCCATTAAGCTATTTTTATACCCGCTACTCGAAGTGTAAATAGGGTTTATTGTATTTGGAAGGAAGGAAGGATTCTTCAGAATCAATAGCCGAGTCTGTATAGCCATGTCTGCGTGTCCGTCCGTCTTGTTGAGCGCCTGGATCTCAGAGATTCAGTGACCATCAAATTTTGCATCCAGATGGCTGTAATATCACACTGTTACACGAGTATTTCAAAATTTTCCCCGCCAAATTTTAATTTTTGCTTAAAATATCGGATATACCCTCAGCCTATAGCCGCAAAACAAAAATCATATGACAGGTCAGACATTTCGCTTTGCAAACCATAAATTTTTATAAATTATAAAAAGGTGCACAAATGGGCGGTTTTCAGGGAGAATGGCCAACGTAAAGGGCACTCATGTTCCTCTTCGATTGCATCTTCTAGGTAAGAGAAAAAAGCAGAGCATTTTTATTTTTTGTGCTGATATTTTTTTTATAGCTGACTAGGAATATAATATTTAAGAAAATTTCACAGAAACAAACAGAACAGGAGCACAAAAAACTGCCAAATCTGGGAAATCAGTAGGCTCTGAGTTCAAAATGTTGTCGACTTGTGGGTAAAGCCCAGGCCTGAGTTCAGTCTAACTTTAAACACAGAACAAGTAACATCGTTTTGTTTCTTCTAATTTTTAAATTTAATTTAATTTCAATAATATTATTTTCATTAATTTTTTTTTTTTGAGTCGATATGTCGGACACTTTATTAATTTCATCTGCTGGCAGTGCCACCGAGTCTGCTCTTGCAGATTCTAGTGGAGTGCGACCCGTTTCTGGATTTCGCAATTATCTGCATCAATCAAGAGGATTGTGGTAACTCAATATGAGTTATTTTCTTAAATAATAACTACACGGTAACTAACAATTGTCTACTTATTAATAACATATTTATGGAATAAGAACTCTCTATACATTGCAAATGATATTTTAGACAAATATTAACAACGGAGAATTTTCTTTACAACAAAACTTTACAAAAACTAACCAAATGAAGAAACACGTCTGAGCGTTTTAAGTCAGTTCTGACAATTGAACATTTTTTTTACAAATCAAGAAATCTCTATCGCTATCTGTATCTGTGAGTATTTCAAATTTTTTGTTTTTCTGAATGAAAAAAAAAATGTCTGTTTCAGGTACTTCCCACACATATTCTTCCTTTGCTAGTCCACTGTACACCACTTCTAAACTTTCACCAGATCCTTGTGGTGATTGAGGATCAGTGTGTATAGTTTTAAAACAACTTGTCTGCTTCCTGAATGGTCATGGCATACACGAAGACACGCCCATGGTCATGCAGCTGGGCCACAACGCCTGGGACAAGATCAAGACAGTTTACTCCATTCTTTTTCACGTGCAAATTTGAATGGATAAATGCGATTTGCATTTTCTGAAAAATAAAAGCAATTAAATAAATTGAGTCCTTGAAGGGGATTCCTTTCATTCGAAAAGACTATATCTAGGCTAGGTTAGGTTGAATGAGTTAGAGCTCCTATGTAACTGGTGACTACAGCTTCAGACTCCGAAAGAAGTATTACATAAGCACAGCAAACAACACTTACAGGCCTCAAATCAACTAAAAAACGATGAAAGCCGGCGTGGCTCGGACGCTCAATTTTGAGAGCGTACACATTTTTAAAATATAATGTGCTTGCCTCAACGATCGTTGACTTTTAATTCGGTGTTAAAGTCTCTCTCGAGGAACACAAATATACGATCATCATTTTCATATGTACCATGTTACTGATTTTTATGAATGTATTATACAGATATGAGGCTGTTGTCTGTCACTTACATTTGTATGTACATATGCTAAGAGCTTTTCTATTAAAATCTTCCCATCTTGAAAACGAAAGATGATATCTATTTACATTTAAACAATAATTTCATTTGACATCCCATGTTACATTACATACATGTGTACAAACATACATCAAAAGCTCAAATTTGACGCGTGCGCTCGTTGTCGTCAAGCTTTTTGGTCCTAGCTTGTAGGTGTAATGCTATTGAGAATTTACATGTTAGTTTCGCTTCGCGGTTTGAAAATAAGTAAAATAACTTTCTGACAGTGAAATAAAGTATCAGTTTTAGTCGCAGTTTAAATAATATAATTATTTGTGTTGTATTCATTTGAGCTATTCCCGTATAACAATCGTTTATGTATATTTTCAATGTGTATAACAACATAAGTGACAATTTCTAATAGAATGCAATGCGAACAAACGCGAAAATAGCCAAATAGCTCAGGAGGTAGAAATGTTGAACTTTATAATTTTTTAAGTGAAGCGGCATGGACATGCAAAAAATACTTTAACTAATAGATGAACATAAGTAAATATATACATATGTTTTTTTGCACCTACAGCATACATATACATATACATACATATGTTCTGTGCATGTATTCTATCTGTTCATGTATAAATATGTATATAAGTGTGTAAATGGGGAGGTGTAAATAAGTGTCCTTATCTTTAGAAAACTTGGTTGATAACAATCTTGTAAATGAAATTTATTTAAAGTTTTAGTGTAGGATTAATAAACAACAAAAAAAAGCCGCGATTCCTTAAAATATAAATGTTTAATTCAGAAAACCGAGAATGGTATACAAAATGGATCTATTACTTCTGTTAATTTTGACATTTCAACAAATAAGATACATCGTTGGAAGCAAAGATGGTAAGTCTGAGACAAATAACTACACACATGCATACATGTATGTACATGTGTACTTATGTATATGCACATATTTAAAGGTATAACGAAATATTCACTTACTAGACTAAAATTACTAATTACATAGTCTATCATTAAATCAAACAAACATACGCATATGTACATACAAATATACAGAATTTTTGGTATGGAAACAGCCAAACTTTTTGTCACTACTTGTAATTAGAAGGGAACATATTTCTGAGGTAACAATAATTTTAATATTACATGCATATGTACATACAGCAGTTTTCATTTTGTGCGTTCACCATAACGTGATGGATTGTATCTATCATATAGTGAGTTCTGATGAACGCCTCTGATGCATACCTTACCATAGTGGCTTCGTAAACACAACGACTTAGAACCTATCGTAATTGACTTCGCAACAATAAGCACTCTAGTAAAATTGGATCGTATTATTTTACGTTCCATTGCGTTCACCAGAACTGGAATTCCATCAGTGATCGCTGATCAAGTTGTCCTGGTGAATCCATTAATATTCTCATTCCATCTTCTAGTTTTACATAGGCAAAAAAATGTATTTAAAAATCCCTTCAGTAAGTAAGAGCCTCACGTTTAATCTCATGCAAAACATAGTTTTGGCCAACTGCTCAAATCTAATTGAAGCTTTTCAGTATATTTGTCGTTCCTAGTGAAACTTTTAATACTCTTTGCCGTGGGGATTCAATTTATCTTTAACGGAACAGCTGTCTGTTCGCTTTTATAGAGTGGTATTTAGACTGCGCAAAAGTGACTAATTCGAATTGTCTATGTTAATTTTCTATATTACTTTACAAGACTTCAAATGGACTGTGGAAATATGACTTCAAATGGAATAAAAAATGCCTTTACAAAGCATTGCCACCACCTTAAGGACCAAACGTTTTATCCACTGCTCTAGAAGAGTAAATGAGCAATTCTCTGACACATTTCAAGCAGATAAAATTAGACAGATTTTCAAAATTATTTTGTTATTATGACACACCTTACGACGACCTCTAAACCTGGTGCTAAGGTCGATTTTGGGCAACTATTCTTTTTGTAAAAAAAAAAAACCAAGAGATTCACACGGTACAAATCTGGAAGGGGTTTTTTCAAATCAATCTCAGAATTAAGCAAAAACCAATATATTAATGCAACTTTTTTATTTATGTGATGTCTCTGTTAAGTGTCTATAAATTTACTTTTTTTTTATTTCTTTAAAGCTTTTGTCGCTCGGGCCCAAACGTGCTTGTTTTTAACAGTTACAAATATATTCGTTTGCCATTTATCTCGAATTTTTTTTAGATATTTTAGTATGCTAGAAAGACATTGTGGAATAACTACCAAGTACTTAGATGTGCAAAATTATCTTTCGACAGAAAGTGCAATATATTTCGTTTGGTGCCCAGTATGACCAAAGTGAACAAAGTGCATGCTCGCTGGGTACACTGCTTCGTGTTTGTTAAATTTTGTATGAAACATACTCCTTGTATTATTTGAGAGTGGATCTGGAGCTTGGAGAACAACAATGCATGAACAACAAAGGTCCACATTATTGGATAAGTTCGGTCCGGCGGAACTGTTAAAATGAGAAATCCTTAAATTTGTATGTATGTGTGTGCGCATGTGTATTTTTCGACACATCTCCTGCTGAAAAATTTATGGGAGGAGATAAATATGTCGTTAACCCTGTGCTAATACCTAAGTTCGACACTGTCGTATCTCGAGTCTTTTACGCAATATTCCAAATCATTAATCTGTTAATAAACTAAATTCAGAAACTCATCTTACCAATTTTAGTATTTCCCAACAAGTAAAGCTAACTAGATTAATTATAAAAATAATAGCAATATATATTTGCTGGCTTAACAAATTGTTTAATGAAAGGTGTAACACATGTAAATAGTTAACATTTATTTTTTGATTGCATTTTTCTAATCAAATAATATTGCCTATACCTCTAGTACCAGTTCATCAAATCGAATCTTTGGTTGGAGAAAATATATTCCTTCCATGCAATATAACTACATATGAGGGAGATGAGCCGGTGTTGGTGCTATGGTACAAAGATGACAAGGGTACTCCCATATACAGGTAAATATATGAAATATATTAATGGAACAAAAAAACAAAAATATTTGTAGTCCAGGTTTTAAGTTATCTTCACAAAATTTTCCACAAAGGCTTTTTATACCCGGTACTCGAAGAGTAAATAGGTTATATTGTGAGTGCCGGGTATAAAAGTTGTGACGCGTTAGAAGCGTGTCACACGTCCCTTCTCGATTATAAATAGGCCGTTAATCCCCATAAATTATTTATGTAAATGACATTGGAACATATAGCAAGCTTCTTTTTGTATTTTAAAGACTAGGTTCAGTAATACTATTACACTGTGAGACAATTGAAAACTTTACAATGTAACTAGCAAGAGACAAAAATTAAGCTGTGGACCTGAACCAGTAGATCACTTCCTCATACTCAGAGTTTGCAATATACTTTCAAAAAGTTTTTTTAAAACTAAAAATCGCATTTTGTTTTAGTTCTTTAGTTTGATACTAAAATTTTAACCATATAAGTCTACTGAAATCAAATCACAAAATTCGTTGGACCTATTTTTAAAACTTTTACCTTTTAAATTTATTTTTAGTATCGACATACGCGCAGGTGTTTCTAAAGCACCAAAAAGATGGTCTGATGATTCCGTCTTTGGAGATAGAGCTTACTTTATTTTTGACAAGGAGCCTGGTAGACTTTCAATCCAAAACACCCAACCATCCGATTCAGGAACATTTAGATGCCGGGTAGACTTCTTAAAGGCACAAACAATAAATAGCCGTGTAAGGCTTAACGTCATATGTAAGTAATTGTATTTTTAAATGTATTTACAACAGTCCTTATATCCCTTATTTCTGATGACAAAAGATATCTATCAAATATATGTATGTACATAGTAGCTTTCATTAATCATATTTTTAAACTTTCTTTTTTGTTTGTATTAGCTCCACCTAAACAAGTAATTATACGGGACAATGATAACGTTGAGCGATCTACAGTGGTAGGCCCATACAGTGAAGGCGACCTTGTGATCTTAAAATGTCAAGTAGTTGGAGGTAAGACCTGAATAGGTAGACCATTGGTGAATTAATAAACCTTTAATTTAATTTTATTATTTTGATTTGATAGGCTACCCAGCTCCTACAATAAGTTGGTATCGAGATGGTGTGGAAATGCCTTGCGATATTTTCCATTCAGAGGGAGGAAAACTGATCGAGTGTGTAATTTCTCTGCCCTCGCTTGGAAGAAAAGACCTCAACTCTCGACTCACGTGCAGAGCAGTTAGTCATCCTCGTGCACCAATCGTTGAAGCTGTGGTTCAAATCGATATGAACTGTAAGTGTGTCCCAAACAAATTCAATGATTTTAAGGCCTTATTTCTTATTCCTTGTTCTTAAGCCATGCAATATCTTACTCAATCTACGACCCATATCTTTTTAGTTTCACCATTGAACATTCGATTGTTAGGGGCCCATCAGCCTCTCTCTGCTGGACGAAGGTATGATCTTTTATGTCAAAGTGCTGGATCCAGACCTCCTGCAGTTATAACGTGGTGGCAAAACGGAATACGACTTGAAAAAACAACTGAAACTGTAAGTAAACAAATTTTCTATACAATATATTGTATAGGTGCGCTCACGTTCACCAGAACAACGTTATAAGAGCTCAGTGATGGATTTAAGAAGGCTTGATTTTCGACCTAGTGTGACTGTAGTTCCAACATTTTCGACTTTTACCCATAGTGCATTTGCGGGTTTATCGACTCTGCTGTTCATGATGATCAGTAATATAACTAATTTATGGCCTCCGCTTTTTTTTTTGGTGATCGAATGTACATTTTTTAATGCAAAATATTCATGATGTTATTTTAGACGTCAAGTGATGGCAACCAGACAACAAGTACTCTTTCCATCAGCTTAAGTAAAGCCGATTCGGGGAAGTTTTTGTCCTGCAAAGCTTACAATCATGCTGTTCCATCGGAGCCTCTTGAAGACGGATGGAAGCTTGATATTCAATGTAAGTATACAAATTATGGATTCATGAAAACAAAAAACCTTAGCAGATTGGTGTTTTAATACGTTCTTCTACTTTTGATTTATAACGAAGTAAAATTAAATTTTCGAATTTATTTACAGATGTTCCGGAAGCGTATGTTCGGTTGGGAACTTCTTTAGACGCAAATACTCTACGTGAGGGTACAGATGTTTACTTTGATTGCCTAGTAATAGCTCATCCAAATGTATTTCGAATTGAGTGGCGTCACAACGTAAGTATTAACATATTAGGGAGAACATTATCATCAAGTCTATAATAGTTGTGCCAAAAATTAAAACTTTCCAATACAATTCGCTCCAGAAAACCAAATATGAACATATTTATTTGTTTCTATTTCTTTTAGGATCAACCATTGTTCCATAACATTTCTCAAGGAATAATAATAAGTAATCACTCTTTGGTTCTGCAAGGTGTAACAAGATCTACCGCCGGAAACTATTCATGCGTTGGATATAATGCAGAAGGGGAAGGAATAAGTGCACCGTTTGCCTTGAATATTTTGTGTAAGTTGTCCTAAGGCTACCTCGCACCGTTCCTTCTCGCTATACATATGTGAAGTTAGAAACTGAAAAAGCTCGGCAGCTTGCAAAATTTAATTTAATTTTTTAGCTTTCAACTTTGGTTAACGTTTTACTTTTTTTTCTAGACTCTCCTACGTGCATGCAGAACCAGAAGAAAATATATGGGATAGCAAAACACGAAGATGCAAAAATAACGTGCGTGGTCGATGCAAACCCACATGAAGTCGAATTTAGTTGGACATTTAATAATTCCGCGGAAAGTATTGACGTTGCTAAAAATCACATTATTCAATCGGGTAAGTTCTGCCTAACCACAGATACTGCGGGAGGGCCGCAGTGCCCTCTTTTTTTGGTATTAACTAACTACTCAAAAAAATGAACTTTTATTTACACTTCGAACCAAAAAGACTGAAATTAACTCATAGGTTACATCGTTTTAGGCACATCCTCCATTGTAACATACACTCCAATCACTGAACTGGACTATGGTACCCTTTTATGCGTCGCAACGAATAAAATCGGAAAGCAAAGAGTACCCTGCGTATTTCACATTATAGCTGCAGGTAAGCAAGAAACTCCGAGAGATTGAAATCTGTGTCCTATTATTATGGCAAACCAACAGAAACACAATCTCGGGATCATAATTTTGAACTAGAGATTTGCTAGTAGATAGATAGTATTGCCGAATCGCTTTATTTTAAGAGTAATTTGCGATTTTCTTATAACCAATTTTTCTTGTACACTTTAAGGTCGACCGGAAAAAGTACACAATTGTACTCTTATCCATATATCAGTGTCATCATTAACAGTTACCTGTAATGATGGTTTTAATGGCGGATTACCACAACATTTTCTCATGGAACTTACGGACAGTAGTACACATGTAAGATACAATAGACTGCAATATTATTTAATAGTAAACTTTATTCCAAGCCTGGCGAACATATTTAAATTATATTTATAAGCTAGGGGGTAACGACATATGTATCTCCTGGCGACATATCTCCTCCCATACATTTTTCAGCAGGAGATATGTCTCTAAATTCGAGGCTAAACTTCGCGTTTTACCGTATACCGATCTGCCAAAACTTTGGATCTAAGGATGTTCGGCTTTAACCATGTTTCGGTAAACAAAATCAAATGCGATGAACATGTGACACTATCCATGAAAAGTGTGCCGAGCTTACTACGCAAGCCTTTAGATTTGTGATGGGCTTTTCGGAAGGAAGTAAGTTTTTTGACTGAGAGGAATTAGAGTGGATAGGCTGATTACTAACAAACCAGAACATTTGTGTATTAGCTGATTTTAATTTACAGAACGAAGCTATAACCGAATCTCTCCGAATCGATTCGGGGTTTTGTTTATGTACAGCTCTAATGAAAACCTTACATTTTTCAATATGACAACTTATGACATCAAATGTAAAATTTTAATTCAAACCAATTTTTACAAGCACTGTTTATTTGTTTATTTCAGGAACTAAAAGCAAATATTACATCCACAAATCCAAGATTCACGGTTTCTGGTCTTACTCCAGGTAGCCTGTATAAACTATATATATTTTCGTTTAACACAAAAGGTCGATCTGATCCTGAAATACTCAACGCGGCTATGCTCCGAATGCCAGAAAAGCAGTTAACGTCAGAACAGAGTGAGCAATATTTTTTTTCTATTAAATGTAATGCATTACATTAGTTACCTATTGAAAATTAAGCTAACAATAATTTAGAATGTGTACTTACTTGACAACCTACCTAACGCTCGGCTGTGCTCTTAAATGTAATGTAATGAAAGTTGCTGGAGGTCTGAGGGGCTTGCCTTTAGATCGCGAGTCGGAAAGTTCGAGTAGCTTTACCGTTTATATTTATTGATCTACAGGGTTTATATAAAAGTTACGTACACTTCATTATAATTTGTTTTATATTTCTTTTAACTTCAAGCGAATAATCTTCGTGCGGAGCTTTTATTCTCGCCAGTTGTCTCGCTGACAATTGGGTTAACCTTGGCTGTACTGGTCGCCATACTAGCAATTATACTCGCACTCCGAATACCATGCACAGCTACATCCAGAAGGCGTCAAAAAGAACTGTCTAATGAGAATATATCAAGAGATGAATCGCCAGGGCCAAGTATAAAAAGTTCTGCGAGTAAGGATCTTGATGATTATGATGAAAAAAATCCCGATGTTGTACCGGAAACTATTGATTCAGATGATCAGGTAAGAATTGCGTCCTTTAAATATCTAAAAATGATGTGTGTATAGCTGGTAAGCTTTTTTACTAACTGCTGTGAAATGTCCAAATTAATGAGGTGAGTAGCATTTTAAGGACTAATACAGTAAAACTGTTGTTAACTGTGATCACCAAAGCGGCCAATAAACGATGGCGAAATGTGCGCAATATGAAGATATATTTATCCCCCGTACTCGAAAATACACTTGTATGTTGTGTGATATCACAGCAGACTGGATGCAAATTTGGATGTCAATACATGTAAAGTATTGACATGTAAAGTACATACATGTATAAAAGTCTCACAACGTTCCTTCTCGTTACTATTTCTAAAATATTGGGAACATTAATTAAATAATAAATTATCGCAATCATTATAGACTGACAGCACAAGGAACAGACAACAGATATCAACAATTCATACCGACCGCAGTCCCAGCAGAGGAATATCTGTAAATGAGACGCAACACATTACAGCTGCTGAAATGACATTACGCACTTCTCACGGAATGGGCTATTGTACTTTACGTAGTGGAGTTCATAGCCCGGTACAGGCCTTGGCTGGGGAAATCTCAATTGTAAGTAGTTATTTATTAGTGGAATTAGGGAGGAGAATTGCCAACATTGAAGTTCTCGGGAAACTTGATCTGCAAATTTGTAACGCTGCCATTATTTGTATGCATAAAACACATTCTAATAAAAATATTTTATTTTTTAAAATTTATTTCAGAATGTGACTCCACACGTCTATTCAAGCTCAATCTCCCAATGTACACTTCCTCGCCAGTCGTTGCACAATGCTTGGCCAAAGTATAATTGCAACATGAGCGGAACAAGACCGACTTCAACATTTCATCAACTTTCTTTTCCACAATCAAGAGCGCATAGCCATCATAACCATTCACAGTCATTAATTGGACATTCAAATGGATCATCTTTAGCATCGAATAGCTCTATGCCCTCGCCCTCAAATGTTTTACCTCCACCACAAGGAAGAATACCCTTGCATCATATAAACCAATCTCAAAGCGGTAAAGTCTGCATGGGACTCGGTAGCGATGACATTCACTCAGTTGAACAAAATCTATCCGATGACGAGGTTACCGTCCAAACTCCATTAATGATTAAACGCGACAGCACTGTATGACTATAGAAATTCCACAGGGTGGTCGACACTCCCCTGTGATAACAATTTTAATATTCTCTGTATCCTGCATTTCGAACTCTTAGAATAAACTTTTATACTTTATTATTAAAACAGTATTGTTTATAGTTGAATTATTTTGCGGTGAAATAAACTAATTTATATATATTGTTTTTGTGCGGCGAACTAGATTAGTTTACTGTAGACGGGTGCGCTGCAGGCTGTTATCTGCTACAGAGCTGCCGTCCCGCTAGTGCTGCTAGTCTGAACATTCTATCACCACTTGCAGGATTTCAGGAACTGAGATAAGATCAATCCGTTTTCACGAAAGCGGTGTCCGACCTGTGACGCAGGAAACGTAGATGTTACTGGACACGGTGCACCGGCTGGACAACGAGAAGAGTGCGGGAGCAGTTACACACCTGGTTATTGGACTGAGGTTATACTGTCAGCTTAAGACTCGAGATCCATGTCTGGATATTTATCTGAACATAAGGCTGAGGTTGGCTTGCGTCTGGCCAAGCTGTGGCATTGGCTACGGATGTGGAATGAGACTCGCTGGAAATTTGAATGGACACGACGCAAAAGCGTGTGGTGCCGGTGTACATGGCCTTATCCATGGCACGCTTAGACGGAACCTAGTTTAATAAAAAGATTTTGCTTAAGTCGATCCACCCCCTATGGACGATTTTCGTTATCCAGGCAGATCCAATCATACACCAATTTTCAAATAATAGACAAAGGAATAATATACAAATCTTTATTATTGTTTACAAAACGTATTTAAAAATTTCAGTATTATAAATATTTTGAGACTATATATTTTGTTTATTATTTTATCATATTAAGTGTACGATTTATTTTTAAATTATGTCTGCAAGGTGTCGTCTAAGTCTTCCTCCTTTACTACCGACTGCGCAGCAGCCCTTTTTAAAACTTTTGTTACAACTTCGCTCAATGAATCTCTAGCGCCCGATTCTAAGATTTCTGATATTCTCGAATAAGTTGTGTCGTCGGTCCTTAGTCTTAGAATAGAAATAAGCGCCAACTCTGAGTTAGATTTGACGTAGCCATTTTTTTCTTTCGTGCCATTTACCAGCATAGGAACCAAATATTTCAAAAGGTCTACCCCAATTTGATCTGCTGTTAAATTTTTGGAAAGGTGTGTACAACTTTTAGCGACCAATTGCTTCACGTCATTACTAGAATGATTCATAGCTCTAGCTAGTGCCACTACAATGGTGGTAGGAAGCTCACTTTTGTTAACAAGAGTGTTCTCCAAAAGATAAGTGGCAGCTCTTATAGCATTGCTAGCAATTGGAACTTTCTCTGACACAATATTAGCCAAAATATTTTTCTTTATTTTTTCAGTTAAGTTTGATGTGAGAACTTCATTGGGGCATTCCTTCAAAGCAACAAACAAGATAACTGTGTGCCCATGTTTAATTAGCATATCGTCTGTGCTGTTTGTAAGTATTGAATTATTGAATATATCGTCAATTTGTGCAGCCGGCATGTACTTGATCATAGCTCCTAAGCATCCGCAAACCGCATTTCGAGTAAGATCTTCTTGATGTCCAACCATGGTTAGTAAGGTGCCAAATACTTGCTTTCTTATTGGCTCAGACATTTTGTCTCCAGACGGACTCACAATATTACGAAGAGCATACAACATTGTTTCCCTGACAGCAGAATCATCGGTATTTTTAATTCCATTGTGAATTTCGTTGAACAAAGGATCTGCTCTTGAGTGGATTGCCACTAGCTCCGATAGAGCCTTGCCAGCTTTCATTCTTACGTTTCTATTTTGATCATGCAAAGCTTTAAGGAAAGTGGTCTGAAGCTGTGGTAAGAACTGTTTTAATATAACACCGACTTTGTGCAGCAAAATGGCTAATGTTTCTAAAACTGCCGCTTTGACCGCAGCATTAAAACGATCACCCAGGATTCGAATCAATGGACCGGTTATATGCACCACTGATGGTTGTAGGGATTGTGCACTAGTAAGGTAAATAACTTCACCCAGCCCTTGGGCTGCATTTTCTTTTTCCTCTGGTAAGCCATTTAAAATCGCTTCTCGGAAAACAGGCAGCAAAGGCGTTATGCCTTTGGGCAAACAAAATCCTGGCAGCTCAGGCTCTTTTAATTCACTTGCAGCAAAGCGAACTGCTTGGCGAACATCAGATACGTGAGCTATTTGTTGTGCCGAATTAAGACCTTTAATTACAGCATTTAAAGCTTCCCATGACTTTTGTAAAATGTCTTTATCGTGATCAGCCATTAGTCTAAGTAGGCATCGCAAGAGTTGGGGAATGTATTGCGAATAGTCTCCTGGTGAGTGAATGCAGAATGCAGACAGCAAACTAGCCGAGGATTTTCGAGTACACAGATCATCAGAGTTTGCTGAAATCAGTAAGGTATCCATTATTGTTCTTATACCAACTTCATCCGTTACTGATAATATGACGGTTTGACAATAATCCAATTCTTGTTGTTCATGTGCAGAACCATAAGATTCTGAAAGGGCATCTAATAGTGCTGATAATATTTTGGGCAAGTATTTCGTTAATGCGTCACCAGCTACAGATACAAGAATCGATAAAGCTTTTGTATTAACTGGAGGTGAAGTTAGTTGGGGCACTAGGTAAGGTAATACTACTCTTGATTTAATGGACATAACTTGACGAAGTCCATCTAAAGTATTCTCCGCAATTTGAGGATCAGGATTGGATAAATTTTCAAGCATGAATGGCAAAATATCATCTAGAGCTCGGGATCCAACTGTGCTATGCAAAGATTCAAATGTTTTTGCAGCTGCTTCTCGAACTTCTGGTAGAGGATCGGACAAGGCTTTACGTACTGTTGGGACCAAGCTGTTCACAAATGTAAGCACCATTTCTTTTGATGTGGATGCCATTATTTCCGATAAGCCAATACAGACACCCTGCCGTTGATCCGGGTGATCAGAGTTTAATCCATTTTCAAGAATTGGTATGATTTCAGGTAAAACTCTTTCGCCAAGTTTTCTTACCAAATCTCCTAGTGTTCGAGCAGCTACTTGTCGTTTGTCATAACTAGTGCTTGCTAAACACCCTAATAGTAAACCAAATAATGTAGGAAGAATCTCACGAAGTGTTCTTGGAGTATTTGTTACAACTATTTTCCACACATGCAATGCAGCTTGCCGAACCATTAAGGAAACGTCGCTGCGTCCCATATAGAGTCCAGACAACACTCGATTACGCCGCTCGTCGCCCAAGAATCGAATTATAGCTTTGTGTGAATGTTCAGTTCCGAAATTGTCATCTTCGCTGGCCGTTTCGGTAGTCATTTTTCCAGACACGCCTGATATGCGATAAAGTAAATCTCCTAATAATTGAACTGAGCTAAATCTAATTCGCCAGTTATCATCAAATAGCCCCTTTTCAAGCTCGGGGAGAAGAAGCGCTACAGCTGTTTCTGCATATAAATTGACAATTCGCTGGCCTGCTTTTAGGGCTGTCTCACGCACATATTCACTCTCATCAGCTAAGGCTTTTAGAATTGGATTGATTATTTGTCCGATATAGGGTGTAAATTCCTCAGGAAACGCGCCAGGCATATATATAAACATCATTATATATCCATCCTTAACGTGTGGTGCAATATCAACTCTTTCTGCAGTGGATATAATTTCTGGCATAAGTTTGTGCATCTTTTCGACACCAAGCCCACCAACTACTTCAGAGAGTCCTTGAGCTGCACCACTACGATCCACACTACTTGACTCTGATGTTAAAGTTTGCATTAACCATGGTAATAGATTTTCAAATGATGTTTCGCCCATGCCCTTAACCATGGCACCAAGCGCTCGAGCAGAGACTGCTCTCACTTCCGGAACGGGATCTAACAAAGATGATTTCAGGCCAGGAATGATACTTGGTAGATATGGTGCCAAATCTTTTTGATCTGTAAGCGAATACATATTTCCAATAATTTGAGCAGCCATTTTTCTTGTTTCAGTGGATCGGTCCATAAAAGCTCTTTGAACAACGGGCATAATAAGGGCCAATGAGGGAGCATCAATGAAATGCACGAACTTAGTCTTGAGTAAGCATTGTAAGCATGCGGATGTATTGTTAGACGGGTCCTCCAAGGCCATCAATAAAATGGGAACAATTTCTTGAATTTCAGGATTTTTAATAACCGATCCTATTACTTTAAGAGCTTCCGCACCGGACTCTTGTACTTTTGTATGGGAATCACCCAGCACTTCTATTAACTTTGGGACTATACTGGGCAAGCAAGATGAGAGCTGTTTCGGAGCACAAAATGCCATTGCACCCAATAACTCGACAGATGCTGTCTTTGTTCTCCAGGAGTCTTCGTCAAGCGCATCTAAAAGAGAAGGAAGTACTAGCTTAACGCCATGAGCTGAAAGCTTTCCCATCACTACTTTAGCAGTGTCATCCGCCGCTTGTCTGACATATTGGGAAGAATCACCAAAGCATTGCAACAAGTGTGGCAAAACATGGACAATATACGGTTCAAACAAGCGACCAAGTGTCGTACATAACACTTCAAAAGCAAACAAAGCTCCTTCTCGGGATCTGTAATTTTTTTTCTCTTGAATATAGGCTGTTAGTTTAGACATTATGTCCAGTTGCTTTAGTGATAAAATTCCAAGTCCTTTCACAATCCCGGCGATACCATACGCTGCACCACGTCTTTCACCATATTTATCAGACTTTGCTAGCGAATGAAGAAGTTTTTTAATCATATTAGGAGCTTCATCTTTAACGGATGGGATTAGATGAGGTAAACAATTTGAAACCGCTTCTTGTACTTGCTGAGACGGAGTTGACAGTGCAGTAAGTAACCGTTTAACAATTGGATCAATACGCTTATCGTCCTTTTCCAAGTGCCGAGCTAGGGATCCCATTAAGATTACGACAGCTTGACGAATGTTATCATAGCTCTGGGATTTCGGTGCTTTATCAAGAAATTCTTCAAAAACGGGTAAAAGGCTCACAATTGTCTCTTTACCGTGGATGTCAACTATCTTTAATGCAGCTGCTAACATTTCCTTGTGTACGATATCCTCACGATCACCAAGACCCTGGGAAACCAT